CCTGCAGCCATGTCCACCTTCCGCCAGGAGAGTGTGGAGGATTTCTATGAGATGGGGGAAGAGCTTGGCAGGTGAGTGGCACCCCCAGCACTCAGGGGGCTCCTTGCTGCACCCCCTGCCCCAGCACCAACTTGGGACCTCCATCCTCCTCCACCCTCCTGGTGCCTCCTCCGTGCTGGGAGCCAGTGTTGGTAGCAGAAGGTGATTAACACAGGGGTGTTAATTAAGGCTGGTTGCTGGCAGTTCCTGGACTGGGCTGTGCTGGAGGGTTCCTGCTCTCCTCTCAGCCCGTGGGAGGGATCCAGGGCTGAGTCACTGCAGATGGGATTTAATTAGCAGAGGAGGTGCTGGGGGAGGAGTGTGAGCTGCCTTGGGATCCTCTAGTCCTGCCCTTTTTGGGAACGGGGAAGTCATTGGGTAGAAAAAGCATTTTGGGTAATTTTAATGTTGGTTTTTTTTCCTCCAAGGGGAGGAGCTTCCAAGTCTTACTGCTGTAGCTGCAGTTCCTTGTGATCCCTAGGGAGGGATGTGCTGACCAAGGGGTGAATCCTATTGGGAAAAGCTTTTCCTGCCCTGGGAGGGCTGTGGGTGTCCCTGGCTGTGATCCAGGGCTGGATAAAGGAGTCTTGGATCCAAGTGCAGTTACTCTGAGCTTTGGTTTGGCTCCCCAGGGAAGTTGTCACAGCCTCAAATCTGACAGAGTTCAAAAGGCATTTGGGCAATGCTCTCAGGCACATGGTGGGATTATTTGGGATGTCCTGTGCAGGGCAGGAGTTGGACTAGTTGATCCTTGGGGTTTCTTCCAACTTGGATTATGATGTGATTTCAGGCATTTCCTTCCTCCCTATCAGAGCTTTATGGGCCCACTGGGCTCCAGGATTTGCTCCTGGGAGCAAAGCTCCTGGCTGGAAAGGGAGATTGGTGGAAATCTCCCACCCTGAGTGGTCACACCAGCACGTGAACAGCCTAGGGAGGGTCAACAGCTGCCAAATTCCTGGGAGGAATTTCCTTCCTCCATCCTGGTACGAAAAAAAAAAGGGAAATTTAGGTTAGATATTAGAAAGGAGTTTTCCCTGGGAGGGTGGTGAGCCACTGGCACAGGTTGCCCAGATTGTTCCATCCCTGGGAGTGTTCCAAGCCAGGTTGGAGAAGAGAAGCTCCAGGGAGATCCCAGAACACATTCCAGTGCCAAGAGAGCTGCAGAGGGACTTGGGACAAGGGATGGAGAGACAGGACACAGGGAATGGCTTCACATGGACAGGAGGGTTAGATGGGATATTGGGAAGGAATTCCTCCCTGGGAGGTGCTGAGGGGCTGGAATGGATTTCCCAGAGCAGCTGTGGCTGCTCCATCCCTGGGAGTGTTCCAGGCCAGGTTGGATGGGGCTTGGAGCAACCTGGGCTGGTGGGAGGTGTCCCTTCTCATGGCACGGGGTGGAACTGGATATTCCAAGCCCTAAAATTCTCTGGTTGCATGATCCTGGGTGATGCCAGGTTGTGTGATCCTGTGTGATGCCAGGGTGTGCCAAGCCTGGGAGCAGGTGGACATCAGCAGATCCCAATTCCTGGCAGGTCTGGATGGAAAACTGTCCTCCAATGCAACACCTTTGCACATCACATCCTTGTGCTGCTTCAAAGCAACCAGGAGAGGCAGGAGATCTTCTGCTCACCTCTCCTCACCTCCCTTTCTCCCTGCATCCCTCAGTGGACAGTTTGCCATCGTGAGGAAGTGCCGGGAGAGGAAAACGGGCGTGGAATACGCTGCCAAGTTCATCAAGAAGCGTCGCCTGTCGTCGAGCCGCAGGGGCGTGAGCCGCGAGGAGATCGAGCGCGAGGTGAACATCCTACGGGAGATCCAGCACCCCAACATCATCACCCTGCACGACATCTTTGAGAACAAGACTGACGTGGTGCTGATCCTGGAGCTGGTGTCAGGAGGAGAACTCTTCGACTTCCTGGCGGAGAAGGAGTCGCTGACGGAGGAGGAGGCCACGCAGTTCCTCAAGCAGATCTTGGATGGGGTACACTACCTGCACTCCAAGCACATCGCACACTTCGACCTGAAGGTGAGGCCTGGGAGGTGTAAATATTCCATGGAGGGAGGTGGGAGTGGGGATGAGTCCTCAGGTGAGGTCTGGGTGGTGCAAATATTCCATGTGCAAAGCTGGGAGCAGGGATGAGTCCCCAGGTGAGGTCTGGGAGGTGCAGGTGACTGGAACTGGGAGCTTGGAACTGGTAGCAGGTATGAGTCCCCCCCAGGTGAGGCCTGGGAGGTGCAAACATTCCGTGCACGGAGTTGGGAGCAGGGATGAGTTCTCAGGTGAAGTCTGGGAGATGAAAACATTCCATGCATGGAGCTGAGAGCAGAGATGAGTCCTCAGGTGAGGTCTGGGAGGTGCAAATATTCCATGTAGGGAGCTGGGAGCAGGGATGAGTCC